TAAAATATTGTCGAATCAGTATCCAATGTCACTGCGCCTTTTTATTTTCTAAGTGTTGTAGGTTATTATTATTATTATTATTATTATTATTATTATTATTATTATTCTTTCGTAGAATTAAACTAGAATTTACTTTCAACATATACGTGAATGCATCTTTCCCTCTCACTGTGCACACGGGCGTCCGCGCCTGTCCGTTTACAGTTACTTCAAGACAATTTTCGTCTTATTCATATCTAGTATCGTAATTAATTAAATGCGGCGTAGGAAGCAATTTTAATGAAGACAAATGGAACTAAATTTTTAAATTGTGTAAATTTCGTTCGTTTTGTTTGACAAACTCGAATATCACAAAACTACCATTTTTATCCTCTTTCTCACTAATATATATATATATATATATATATATATATATATAGATTTATGGGTAAAAATGCACAATATCGGGAACAGACAAAGCGTATGTAAATATAAAAGTGGACACTGGGGTCAACACCGAGTGACGACAGTCTACTTCATGCTTGAAAGCAATTTTCAGACCACCTTAAGATCACGTTCAAGCATGAAACACTGTTGCCCTGAATATCACACACACACAAATATATATATATATATATATATATATATATATATATAATACTCGTTGTTCGTTGCTGCTCCTCGTACCAATCACTAAGTACACACTTCACATAGAATGATATAATTACTTTTAATGTGTGTGTGGACCCTGAGGTTAGCCCTGACTGGCGACAGTCTGTTGCATGCTTGATCGCAATCTTCTGACCATTTGCGTTCAAGCTTGAAATATTGTGCCCTCTTGGCGTTATCTCTCTATTTATTTATTATTACTTTTTATAAGGCAATTTACCCCAAATAAGTCGGGAGTGCCACTAGCACGCAAGTGGTTACAGAAGATTGAGAACAAGAGTAAAGAGGCGTGTTTGAGGAAAGGATACAGAGAACGACGTGGAACAAGCTCAGGGTGACATATGTCGATTGACATTACATTTGAATATTTGAAGATTATAGTCATCGAGGAAGCAAGTAAGGGGAAGGAAGTTCCACAGACGGGAAGTGTGGGCGAAGAAGCTGTTTGAGAAGAGACGGTTACATTTGACAGTGAGAAGACCGAGATGCCAACCTGGTAGCTCGTTTAAATTCATGTTAGTCCAGGAACCAGCGAAAGTAGCTCGTCGGAACACTTGCCGTGAAAATATTTGTAGAAGAGACGGAGGGAGGCCACAGCACGAGTGTGGGATTGTAGACTAGATGCCAGATCAGGACCTATCATACTGCATATTTGTCTCTGGATTTTGTCAAGGACCTTGAGACGTACAGCGGGCGCACCAGTCCATATATGACAGCAATATTCCATGCAAGGACGGATGGTTGATTTATAGATTTGAAGGATGAACTCAGACGGGAAAAAAACTTTCTTGCCGTAGATGAAGAAAATGAAGACTGTCACCAATCGGTGTTGACTTCAGTTTCCACACACACACACACACATATATGTATATACACTAGCAGCCATACCCAGCTGGTCGATCAGAAAAAGCGTTCAGTTAGAATGGAGCAAAACAGCATCAAGTTTAGATGTAACAGTCTATGTTCTTTAATTACTTTAAAGTACTTTCATTAAAAAAATTTGAATTAATGCAGTTACTGATATAATAGAAGCATTCTGTATTTATTCAATCGAAGGACATGAAGGAGTAAAACAGAAGACCCACTTCAGATCAGTTATTTTAGCGTTTTTGAAATTCTATTTGTCTGTGCTACCATGGATATAAAAGAGAACACATTTATGAAGCAATTAAGTATGATGAAAAATAAAAAACCAGTAAAAATCACCATTTTTCGCTATTGACGCGGGTTTTCACAATATGGATGGACGCAATTATGAAGTTAAGTTTGTTAAACAATCAACTTATTGTTGGCTGCAATTGCGGGAAGTTTGTATTTAGATTGCTTGAAAGTTGAAGGAGTTCTTAGTTTAAAATTTGTGTTGAAACCAATTTTTGGTTTTTCGCTAAACGCAGTGGCGTAGAAAAAAAATAAGGTATCGTTGAGCTCGTCATGATGTAAGTAACCTACATATCGGAGGAAAGAAGTCGAATTTATCGATTTTTGCTCGGCTCTATCGATTGATTTTTTTATGCTAAGAACCTCTTACATTGTATAATATATGTGCTAAGTTTGGTCAAAGTCGGTTGGATGGATCTCGAGTGAAACGGTATCAGACACACACAGACAGATAGACACACAGACATCCTCTGTTATATAAATGTGTGTGTGATGTCAGAAAAGAAATGATTGTGTTGAAACGATCCCATATTTCTTATAAAATGATCTATGAGAGTTTCTAAGCTTCAGTTCCTTCCCACTGTCGTAACGTAGCTTCCCTTGTACCTTTTTCATAAATATTTTCATGGCAACTGCTCTGGTGTGCTTTCCTCGTTGGTATTTGGTGGTACCTAGTCTTTATGAACTGAAACGCAGTACTTGATTGGCGGCAAGGTCTCATCAGTTTACAGTTGAAATGTCTAGGCGTAACCGCAAGTTCTATTCTAATGATTTATTCCGTCGCATTTCTCGTTTGTGGAACTCTTTTCCAGTTGCTTGCTTTCCTGTTTAAAAAACAAAACAAAAAACAAAAACAAAAAAACGCAACGTCAATCGTCACCTTCTGTCTCATTGAATCCTGTTCTTTTTATTGTCCTTTTTCCTCAGTAACCCTCTTTCGTCTTGGTGGCTTTATTGCCTTTCTTGGAGTGAAAGCATGAAAATAACTAGTGCCTGTCTACGTGCATGGTTAAAAAAAAAAAAAAAAACAAAAAATAAAAAAAAAAAAAACACGGAGAGTTGTATTTTGAACGTGTTCCTTTAATGGTGCAAGGTTAATTTTCGCCGTGATTTCTATTTTTCCAGATGGTTCGATGCCAAAAAGATAAGTTTTTATTTCCATTATTAATCCCATATAGAAAAAGTTGTCTTCTCTCGTATCATCGACACCTACTTCTTTAATGTATGCTTAAAATAGAGCGTAGGAAGATGTCGATTACAATTTGTAGTGCAGTTGGTTGGCAGAAATGTTTTGCTGTTTGGTGTTCACACCTCAGGAATGCTAAGAGTTCAACTTCTGTCATATGGAGTAGTTTTTTTTTTCTCGCCTATAATTATCACTATCATTTGTATGTCGTTGACAATTTATATCTGCGACTTGGTGTTAGGTTCAAGTCGTTGGCTGTCATGTTTTTAGTAGTTTTTTTTTTAGTTTGGAAGATAAAAGTTCGTTTTCAGTAGACAGATTCCTCTTTCTTCTTCCAGACGTTCCCTTTATAATTTGTATCTGAATATTTTTCAACCTATTTTTTTCTCACAACATGAAACTTGGACCTATAGCTAAACTTCCGCTGCAACCTTAATGATGATTATCAAAAAAAAGGTTTTATGGTGGAGTAATGGATAGCAGCTCGGATTGAGGAATCGGAGAGCCGAGTTCGAATTCCAGTCGAATCCATTACATTCACTTACGTGCTAATACCCTTGGGAAAAGTATAAATTCTCTTCTCCTCCTCCCTCCCCACCAAGCTATGGGTAAATAGGACAGACCGGGTTCTATAGCCTTGGATGGATGGCAAACTGGTCTACCGCAGAAAGAAATGGCAACCTACTGCGAGAAAAAATCTGCCTCGTCAGTCATCTATCGAAAGATGCATGATCCCCTAAGCGTGTGTCACGCATTGCACATAACTGACTGACTGATTTATTTATTAACATAATCAAAACAATCCTATTATAATTGTACTTGTCATTCCCTTCATTAGTTCGCGCGCCCGCCGGCTATGCCCTGCCAATATCTCATAAACAATGAGCTATTCCGTTCTGATCGCGTGGAAAGAAAGGAAAAGACATTACTTAGTTTCAGTAAGTGTGTGTGTGTGTGTGTTTAACAGCTGTTTCAATGAAATGGGAAAGTTGTCAATTTCATTTGTACCCCCTTACTTCTTAAATTAACGACCAGCATTCACATTTATGATCCTTATTGCAATATTTTGTTAAAGTTGTTAAGCTCAAATATTTAACTATGCGATATGGGACATTTAAGATGCTTACTCAGTCATTAAGTTAAGATTCATTAAGTTAAGATTAACTCCTTTTAAGGAGAAATATGGGCGTTTTAGAATATATTTGCAAGGTTGAATTTTGGACAGGCATATTCTTAAATCTTCTGCCAAGAATTCTAGCCTTGATCAATTTTTGTTTTGAATATTGTTTATTGCAGAAAATCGTGCTTTTTTATATTATTTTATATGCTTATTATGTATGTTATTATATATTTATTATGTATATCATAATGATATGCTCGTATAATTTTGATACGTACACTGTGCTTTGGACTGCTTTCGAAAGTAATTTAATTAATGACCTTGATAAATGTTTGCGGCATACCTACGATCCTCTCGCGGCACATCTTTTGAAAAACACTGCTGTATCCGTTTGTTTATCCTACTTTAAACAATTCATTACACTGGATTGTTGCGTTGTTATCGTTACCTACAATACTGCTTCTTCTGTGTACTGTGGGCGATCATGACTCTCAGCAACTTCCTGTTCGAAGACCAGGTATAATGCTAAGAAGAGTCCAAATTGAACATGCTTAAAGTAAAAATACTTACTCAATACAGAAACTGCGCCTCTATGCATCTCTTTTGATCAGTTGCTCACTTTTAAGCACGTCCTAATAGACTGCAAAGAATGCGCGAATATCCGATTTAGGAAAGCAATTCAAAGAATGTGTTGACGTATGCCAACGTTAGGCATATCTAGACTTCCTTTCACACGGGCGGAGGCAACAGATCTCGCGAGGTAGCTGAGGAGCCTGGACTCCCGACGTAAAGGAGAACAGGATTCGAGCTCAAGTAGTTCAGCATACGAGAGTTAGTAAAGAAGGATGAGGTAGATGTGCGATGTATAAACTTCCCGCCCTTCACTTTTTACGGCCATATCCCGTTGAAACACCGGTTCTCGTACGATCACCGAAGTTAAGCAATGTCGAGCCTGATCAGTACTTAGATAGGTGACCGCTTGAGAATACCAGATACTGTGATGGATAATGGCTCCGAATTTTTAATCGGAGAGCAGAGTTCTAATTCCCGCTGGATTCTTTATATTCACTTATGCGCAAATACTCTTGAGAAAGGTATGAATCAACCTTGTACCCCCAGCTATGGGTTAATTAGTAAAACTTGTATCATTAAACCATTATTATCCTCAGCCCTAAAAAACTTCTATCAACCTAAAAATATTTTCTGGCTTTAAATAACCTGCAAAAATGGTTGATAAGTCGTAGAAAACGAATCCATCCATCCACCAATCAATCTAGCCTTTTCACTCCACCACCAAAAAGAAGTGAGGTTTTGGGAAGTGAGTCTCACTAAAAACTCTCTCTCGTATTGATAGTCAATGGTGTCTGAGTAAATATTAGTCCACCAGTTATATCGTCTTAGTATATAAAACCAAAGAGTTATATTTAGCCAGTAGGGGGTAATGAGTGTTTTAAATACCATTCGATATGGTATATTGGAAATTCTTCGTGCAGAAGTAGAGAAATAAATACTTCAACCCAGTATTATTAGAATCCCCTATTAAATGTAAAAATAAAAATCCAGCATTATAGGTTCCTTTTAAAAAACAAAAAAAAAAAAAAAAAAACAAACAAATAAAAACTGTATCTTCCTCTTTCTTACTATGCTCACCTGAAAATACAAATAAAAAGAAACCCGAGGGACATTGATTCAGTTTACTGATGCAGCATTGTGGTCCCTACTTAAGAATTGCCTATTGATCACAATTCAGAAAATAAATACAACACTGCCAACCCGAGGGAAAAAATTAAGAGATATCTGCGTGCAATAAATAAGCAGAATAAAATCTCTATCTATAAAAGGCAGGATGTATGTATGTGTGTGTGTGTATATTCGCAACGAATGCACAAAAAAATTTTCGAAGATTTGCACCAAAATTTCATGCACATGCTCCAAGTTAGCGAGAATCAAAAAAAAGCTGGACTTTGCATTTCCCAACTCCCCATCGATAGTGGAAATAATAGATTTTTTCATGCTAGAACGGCAGTTTTCATGTAGTTTGCGCCCATTTTCTACTGGCCAAATGATGAGCCAATAGCTGGCTGACACGAATAGGCAGGAAGATTCTATTGGCCAGCGTGAGAGCCAACAGCTGACTGACACGAATGTTAACTAGCATGCTAGCATGCAAAAACATCGATAGCTGCATTCGTTATGGCAGTGGGAAAATTTAAATCTGCATTACTCCAATTGGCTCATTCAATTGCATTTAAACTCAACGGCGATTCTGATTCCGCAGTACTGGGTTGGGTGTGAAAAAGTGTGAACATTCTTTTTTTCATTCGGTTTTTTCCAGTTACGAGTCCTTTTTTATATCTACACAAACTCTTAGATTATTTTAGATTAATGTTGCTTCCTTGAATTGTTTTTTATAAAATTCACTGACCTACATGGATAAAAGTGTTGGTTGAAGTAATACAAAAGGTGACTTGACTCAGAGTTGTGAGTTCAATATCTGGCAGCAGAGATGAACAAAAATTTGAAGAGTTCAGTCAGTCAGTTGTGTACCATGCGTGATACAGGCGTAGGCGATCATGTATCTTTCATTGACGAGGCAGATTTTTTTCCCGCAGTAGGTTGCCATTTCTTTCTGCCATAGACCAGTTTTCATCTATAGAACCTGCTCTGTCCTGCTGGTGGGGGTGGGGGAGAAGAGGATTCATAACTTTCCCAAGGGTATTAGCATGTAAGTGAAGGTAATGGATTCAACAGGAATTCGAACTCGGCGCTCTGATTCCTCAATCCGAGCTGCTATCCATTACTCCACCTCTTAAGTTGAGTTACTAAAGAGAAATAACTGAAACTATCCAGAAAAGGCATGTGACTTGGAACTAGAACAATCTACCCCCGAGGACTAAATAAAGGGTTCAGTTTGAAATTCCAACGAATATCACTTGAAGAAAGTACAACGGCCAAAACTTCAGAGCTTAGGCGATCATGGCTTTCCACAGATTCCATTTACTGTTAGGCCACAATCACCTCCTATTAACAATTAAGACTATCAAAAGTTACAAGATATATTTTAATACCACATTCCTTCTGGATGTATGCGGTAATCGATCTCCACATAATCCTTTGTGATCTGTGAATTACTTGGTAAAGTCTTTCCCCTTTGCCATCTCTACTGGTTTTGAGACCTTTGAAAAGCACACCATAGCTTGACCCAAACCTTGAGTGAAATTGGGTAGAGGGAACCCATTGTGAGCCTTCGATGGTTGGGCTAGCACGAAGGCACAAGTCATCATGACCGAGGGTTTGAGTGTGCTGGCATTGTTCAAACTGTTGATGATGCTAGATAATGCGTTTTCTCTCAGAAACTGTAACTAAGCCCGCTCAACATAGTTGCAGTATAAATCACAGATGGGCTCTGTGGGTGTTTGTTCAAACACAAATATTTCTGAGCAGGTGCCTGCAACAGGGATTAGCTAGTTGTCTTAGCAGACAGGTATCCTCGGATACAAGTGGTCAGAATTGCCCCATGACTTCTTGGAAAAGATGGTGTGTGTGTGTGAAAATATATAGAAAATAGGAAAGAACTCGTTAGGTAAATAATCTGAAGTTCTTTAGTATTTTTTAAAACAGTGCTCGATACAATGTATGTATGTGATTACTTCAGTTATATGTAAGACAAACTGGTATCACTTCCCTTACTAAAACAAGTCCGAGAAAAAAAAATTCAAAATGGAGTGAAGGCACCATGGAACCCCCTCTGCTGGCTTTCTCAAGAGATCAGAGAAAATTATAATTATTAAAGAAAATGATGTGGATAGCCATGACTGCTTACATCTTGAATGGACATGGAATTAATTTAGAAAAAAAAGATTATGATAATCTTTGTATGACTGGGCTTGCGCTCTGCAAGAAAATAAAAACATATCAACCATGACACTCTCCACAAATTTCTTTTCTTTATCTGTGAATTGCCCCAACATCTTGGGAAAGATACCAGAGTGATTTCCCATCTCCAGATTTCATTTAGCTATCATGTCCTTCCACAGATTTCTTTTCTTTATTATCTGGGAAAGATAAGTGATTTCCCTGTTGCCTTCTACACAAATTTCACTTCAGAGTTGTATTTTGATTAGCTTGGTTGATTTTACATGACAATTTTTGTTGCATTGTTTACTGTCAAATTTTGTACTGGGCACTGAGTAAGGATCAAATTCAGTACTCAGTAATTGTCACTCATAGCTCGTCTAGCTAATTATTACCCCAAAAGTTAGATACTTAAATAGGTAGAAAAACAGATACACAAGGTATTTACTCTGTTTCCCCACTAAGACAAGTTGTGACATAAGGTCTTATTTTTAAGATGGGGACCTGAGTGTGTACACCCGGACCAGGAACAAATTTCCTGCAGCCCCTGCAACTCTCAGTTGCACTGGCCTTGGTGCGAGCACCAATCCCTCTCTCTGGTACAATGAGAGGTCGCAGTCAGAAAGTGAATGAACTGTTATGTCTCTAAAAATTTTCCACATTTAAATTGAAATTTTAATGAGTAATAGATGAGTTAATATTCAATCAAAAAATGGCACTTGGATGTTAATTTTCTATTCTATTTTGCCTCTAGTAGGGTGATAATTTTCCATTATTCAAAGATTATTGTGCGTGTGGGATTAATACGGTCCTCTTTTTGATTTTCATTATTTCAATTTGCTTTTTTAGTTTCACTCAATTCTTAACGTAAACTTGAAATCAATATTTTAAATAAATAAAACGGTAAATTTTAACCTTTGTGCCCGCAAAAACACAGCATATCTAAAGGACAGTTCTCCTCAAGGGAAAAACTGTCCTATTATTTTAACTACCTTCATTCCTCACCAATATTGGTTTTAAATGCAATGATTAGAATTTTTATAAAACCTAAACAAGTGAATTTATATATTTTGTTTGTTCTTCAGAATTCATGACCATAATATTAAACACTATTTATTAGATTATTTACAAGAATAATTGGATATTTATAACATTCTAAATTGTAAATAATAAATATTGCATTGTAGTTGGTTTACATTTTTATAACATTGTAAATGGACATTTCTGAGGGTATCTCCATAGTGTATAGCAACGGCAGTGTAAACAGTAAAAAAATCCTTTTTCTGAAACTCAATTTTCTTGCAGGTATGAAGGTTAAACTTCACCAATAAAACTTTACAAGGAATTTTTTTTTTAAATCTGAAGATGAAGAATTTGCAGTGTTAGTATTTTATAACTAAGTTCATCCCATCTTTTTATTTTATTAGACTGTCAATAACCACTATATTCTCAGTATTTTATGAGTACCATTTAATCCAACATATTATTCTAGATTTTATCCCAAGACTCTGGCTCAATACACTCTTCATTATTACTATTATTTTGTTACTAATTTTATTCCATCTTATTATTGTTGCTTTTTATACCAATCCCAACATTCTGGCTCAATATAGACTTGTGACACTATTTAGCTATGGTATTGGCTAATTAACCATAGAAATTAAAAACAGGAAAGACTTAAGGCGAGAAGGAGCTATATCGAAAGATAGATTCATCGACATTAAAAAAAATGATTTTATTTTTTTTACGAATATACTTTTTGCACGAGACAGAAAATCCGTAAGAAAAAGCGAGATATGAGATTCTGTCAAAACTGATTAATGTCATGTTAAGAGAGTGACGCACCAAGGGATACTGAATTCAAAAAGAAAAACAAAGCCAACCAACACATGCGGCCATAAAAAAATTTCGGCTTGACATCACCACGGAGAATAGATATTAGTTATCTTTCAGAGATATCATTTAATTTTAATTCCTGGGTCCAACGAAGGAAGCCATCTGGTGTGTGTTATAATTCTGGTATGAGGAAGAAAATCGTATTATTATTGCTTATTCAAACTGTTGACAGCAGACACAGCGTCGCCGAAAATGAGTATTTTGTGATAAGAGGATTTTAAGGCATGAGAAAAATAAAGAATTTGATT